AGTTGCTGCTTGACGTAGGTTCCTAAGCCTTTTAAAATTTTGCACATGGAGGATATGAAACAAAATAATGTTTTTAGGTTTTACAGTCGAATAACTAAAAAATCATAAATTACTACATCAATACCACAGAATTCCACTATAATTTATAAAGCTTAGTAACAAAGCTGTATTTCAGTCGAAACAAAATATGAAATTTCGAGCGGGCTAAAGACACACCCTACCTGCTTGAAATCTTGATTCGAAAGAAAGAGATGGCATCCTAAGATTTTAAGTGGCTAAGAAAGCCACTAGTGGGACATTCTGAGCTTTTGATTGATTGTTCATGTCATATATAGAAGTGTATATAAGAGAGCATTTCCAAAAATGGAAAGAGATGGATGAAGTGCCATTGTGTGTGATTTATTACATGAGCAATATCTTACCAAATAGAAAAGGTAAGAGGTTCTTATTTTATATATTAGCTTGTCAATATCAGTAATTTGAGTTCCTAATTTGTTCAAAACTATAGACATTTGACATCACAAACATCTGATTTGAACCTGTACTGCATTCAACATACCACGTGACACACAAAAAATCAATGTTTAGGTGTGTTTTTTAATATTTACTTTTAAATTAAGAAATTGAGTAATGTATAATACTAAAATTTGAATTATAATCTACAGTTTGATTCCAAACTTATTGAAATAAATTCATGGAATAGTAGTTTAATAAAATTTTGAATGCAAGTCAACAAACTTGATGACATGGCCTTTCACCCATGACCTGTCTGGAAAGGGTTAATAGGGATAAAAATAAAATTTTTCTACTTTTAATGCCTGGTACAGTTTAAGATTAAAGAGTAAATTGTATGTATTGACAGTATACACCAAGCTATTTTTGTTTTGGTGTGAAATAATATTGTCATATATTTAAATGTTTTCATAAAATATATTTGCCACAAGAAAAATAATAACAAAAAGAAATTATTTGGTTTATTTTTTGTCTTTCAATAGGATTTGAGCCTTTCATTGATATGTGGACTATCTCAGAACATTCAGGAAAAAATCAGAAAGAAAGATGAGGAAATCACTCGACTTGATTCCTGCTGTCTCCAGCTGTCAATACCAGTGAAGTCAAAGTATGTTAATAGTTAAACGTACATATGCTATTCTCCAAGTATTATATGTCCATTGCGTTTATTATTATTAACACATGTGTCAATGTATACGTGTAGAAGCTGCTAATTGTTTTTTATTCTTAGAACATCATGTGTCAATGTATAGATGTAGAAGCTGCTAATTGTTTTTTATTCTTAGAACATCATGTGTCAATGTATAGATGTAGAAGCTGCTGATTGTTTTTTATTCTTAGAACATCATGTGTTAATGTTTAAATGTAAAATTTCTTGCTGTTGTTTTTTTAGTCATAGTACATCATGTGTCAATGTATATGTGTAGAAGCTGCTAGCTGTTGCCTTTATTATTATTAGCACGTGTCAATGTATAGGTGTAGAAGCTGCTTGCTGTTGCTTTTATTATTATTATTAGCACGTGTCAGTGTATAGGTGTAGAAGCTGCTTGCTGTTGCTTTTATTATTATTAGCACGTGTCAATGTATAGGTGTAGAAGCTGCTTGCTGTTATTATTATTATTAGCACATGTGTCAATGTATAGATGTAGAAGCTGCTGATTGTTTTTATTCTTATAATGTCATGTGTTAATGTTTAGATGTAGAAGTTTCTTGCTGTTGTTTTTTATTCCTAGCCTATCGTATTAATGTATAAATATAGAAAATGCTTGCCATTCTTTTCCATTTATAGCATTACATAATTTTAAACTACACATGGTTATTTTTTGCAGAGGGCAGATCTTCTTTTATAAAATAAGTTTTAAGCTATTGAATATATGTAAACATTGTAAATTGTTTAAAATTTTCACAGTAATATTCATTATTACAAAGTGTAACTTCCAATGGGAGAGCTAATTGACACAAAGTTACATTTATTTAGTTTTAAGTTCAGATTTACAGCTTTCATGTGCTGGCTATGTACTGCTTTGTACTGTTCTCAACATTTGTACTTTCTTCAGTGTTAGTAGGGATAAATGTGGAGATTATTCTAAGTACAGGTATTTAGTGATTCATCAAATAAAATTATTTATATGCACAAAATAATGCATTCTTGCAAAGAAAACTAATTTTAGTTGTAATTTCACAAGAAACACAGTGGTTTTGAAATAATTATTGAAGGTGGGGAACATTTTTGGCTTGATGTGTGTTACTGATACTTGATAGTTTCTCATTAATTGCTATATTAGTTATTTTTCAAGTAAAAATGTCCAATTTTTTTTAAAGTTTTTGCATAAATAATATACTAAAATAATTAGCTTCATGAAATTTGAGTAATGGTTGATCATAATTACCTCAGTCTGTCATGACATATGTCACCATTACTAAACACAGAAGTCAGATTCTCTTTTTGATTTAGTTTCTGAAAATAAGTTTTGTTTTAATTTTTTATTCTCAGAACATCACTTCTGCTATTGTCTGAAGCAAAATATTGATAATAGTGTTACCTGCATCATTTCTTTTTCATATTATCATTTGTGATTTTTACAGAATTATCAAAATGTCAGTCATATGCTAGGCAATGATAGGTCCTTGAAGTTTCACCAAATGTTAGTTCTTGTGTTATTAGATGTTGTTGTATAGTTTGCTTTTTCTCATGATTGTAATGTAAATAAATGTTTTAATCTTCATCATGCTTTCCAAAGGATTTATAACACTATAACATCCATTAACTCATTATATGGGTAAGTTGTAAGAATGGTTTCTTGCAAATTGTTTCACATAAACAGAAAATTTCAATAAATTATTTAAGTTTTATAAATGTGAAACTTAGAAATCGCTGTAAAATAAAGTATTAAAGCATCATAACTAGAACTAAGTCAACTGGTGTATAAAATAACATAAAATTAATGTTTTTACCTTGGAACTAAGGAAAGTAGTATAAAATAAGAACTTTCAAACAAATGCTACTGCCCAGTCTTTAATATTCTAATGCAAATAAAAGTTATACCTTTGATTCCTACAGAAATTTCTATATAGTTGACAATATTATTTTTTGAGATTAAATATTGGGAATTATTAAACATCTCTACAGAGTCCACATAAAAATTTGTCTTTTTAATCTTACTATGCACACATAATGTCACCTACATGTTTTGATAAACATGGTCTACTGGTATTTTTTCCAATGTTAAATTGAAATTAATGTTGTGGCTTTTATTAGAAACTAAAGAAAGAAAATTTAGATCTTAAAATATAGTAATGTTAGTTATATGTGAATTACATAAAAAATAACTCCAGAGAATACTTTTTATGCTTCTCTCTATTTCAGAAAATAAGGCATCTCATAAATTCTTACTTGGTAGATTCTACAATCTTTGTTATCAAATGTAAATGATTTTTTTAACAAGTAATGCATACCTCTGGGGTACAAATTGTTTCTCAGTCTCAAAACGGGGCTATGTAACCCGGAAAAAAAGGTAATTTGCTAAACTTTTTTGCATTAATTCTCTCATAACAGAGCTAATTCTGGGGTCTTCCTGAACCTACTGAAATTGTACTGGATGGAGGATCTGTTGAATTTATTCAATGTATCAATGATGGTAATTTAGGTAGTAATTTTGTTCTTGAACCTGAAAAACATTATGAATCTTTTCAGAAGGGTTGGGCAATAAGGCCTGTTCAAGTATATTCATTGTTACATAGATAATGTGAAGCAAAAGTATGATGATGGAAACATAAGAGAGAAAGAAAAAGGGTCCTGGTCACATGCTTGAGAAGTTGAAAATGAATTACCCCTCTGCATTGGTTCTATCATTTCAGAACAAAATTAATATGACAATTAGCACCTTCATTGCCAAAAGTAAAGAAGAGCAGCAAATGGCCAACTTTGAATTCGTATATGTTTTCCAGATGTACTTTCAAATATTATCAATGATATTCATGATGCAAATAAAAGCATTGCACCAAAGACACACTATGCAGTGGTCCTGGAAAGATATGAGATGATAAAGGAGACAAACCCCATTGAAGAGTTCTCTGATGAGAAGAAAATAAAAAGCAAGATCAGCCAAATCAAACAGAATAAGAAGAAGGAAAGGCAAGCAGCTGATGGAGGATCCCAAGAAGGTTTTTTTTTATGAATTCTGTATTTGTTCGAAGGTCAACATAAGTATTCATCCCAAAAAACAACAAAATCGTAAAAGAATTGTTATTTATTTGTATGTATCGTCATTTATTTTCATGAAAAAAAAAGAAGGAAAAAGCAAAAGAACAAGAAAATAGAGAAAAACAGCCTGGAAAAGGGTGCACTTTTTGGAAAATGTAGTCAAAATTGCAGTTTTCAAATTATCATAAAATTTCAAGTATTTATGCCTAAAAAAAATAAAAAACACCGTTGAAAACATTTTTTGCTATTCAATTTTAGTACTAAATGCCCTATTTCAGTGTTCAAGTTCCACAGTTAACATTCCGCATAAATCGGCAATATATCAGGAAATTTTGCCACTCCAAGGTATGCATTACGTGTTGCATAGTTTAAGAAATTATTTCAACTGGAGGAAAATATTAATAGCTACATTACTAGGCAGAGCATTTTAAGATATTATATAGAGTTAACCCAAAACATTAGTGGAATAAATATAGATTATTTAATTAAACTATCTTATGGAATTAACTATTAGCTGCTTAAATAGAATGTCTTAATACAGAACATGTTGCTTATGGGCTAGTATGTGATTAACCTTTATTTAATCATGTCATGCATTTGAGTCATAAGAGTTAGTGTAGAATTGAAAAAATGTAAGTTATTTTTAATGATAAAATAACAGTGGTTTAGAAGCTTTCAAGCTTGTTGTCTTCATACACTGACTTCCTCTACTTTACTTCTCTGATTATAATAAAGAGGGTAAGTGTTCAGTAATATACATTGTTTAAACAGAATGTACAAAGCAATTTGTCAAATTTAATTTATCTTTTGCAAGGATCAGTTGTTGTTTTTTTTTCTTTTAAAAAAAGATATAGCACTCAAGGCATTAACAGAATAGGTTTTATGATGTTGTTATGGTGTCTCAGTGCAATTGAAAAAAATATAATAATCATTTGTATAACAAGTTATGAGTTGTGTAAATAGAAATGAATTGGTAAAATTTTTAAAGCGAGTTTAATTGTATTTTTCAAATATTCATCAAACTCAAACTTACAACGACGCCAGAGATGATTAAGAGTTTCAATTGTTTTTTGCCACAGGTCAAACAAGGAACTAGTTTGTCTTCAGCTTAGATCTCCTTCTGTGAAAAGAGAATGGATCACTGACCTACATTTATCTAAACTTGCTCTTGGTATGGTTTGTTTACATAAAGTTAAACTTTGTAAAATATAAAATACTCAAGCTCTATGAAACTTAAGTGACAATTGGATGTACATTTTTTGTGAAAATCTTAAACTTTTTTCTCAATACAAAGCCATTAAATTTTGTAATTTGTTGTACTTTGTAAAGTGATTGTCAGTGATAAAATTTGTACTTACTGGCTTAAAATAAGGAGAATTTTGATTAACTATTGTTAAAGTTATATTATGTAATGCTATTTGTTTAAAGTATTCTCCCCTTTTTTAGAAAATAATCATCTGCTTTTTCAAACTAATGAAATTATTCTAATAAACTTACAATGCCAAGTGGTGAAGAAAATCTGAGTGCTGAATTTTGCTGAAAGGTTGAATAGCTGTATGCTCTTCAAATTGAAAGTGTTTCTACATAGAAAAACTACACTAAGCTACTTTCCAACAGTAAAGATATATAAAACTCCTTTGAATGAGAATCTGTCATTAACCTAGCTTGACTGGTCAGAGCTGATGTTACACAAAACTGTATAGTTCTGAGCTGGTCATTGTAAGGGTTTGTTATTTGATGTAAACTTCACAATTCTGAGAGGTGAAGAAAATCCTAATGCCAGAAACCCCCATTTTTAAATGCAATAATGTAAAAGTGCATCTAAAACTTGTATGTAATCATTTAAATATTGTTAATTTGCAGATACAAACAATACTCCAGCATGGGACATTCCAGAGCAGGAGAAGAGGCCTACTAGTAAGATGCCCTTATTTGCTAAAACAGTTCCAATCTTCTCAGCTTTAGGCTCTACTGAGGTAATATGGAGGTGTTTAGATTAGTGCATGTGTCTGTGTGGAAAATAATATAGATTTAAATATATTACTAATAAAGTGAATAAATTCAGTATTAAACAGTTTTTTGTTGTTGTTTTTTTCCATACATAGAGCCGATTTTTCTGTGATTTTCAAAAAACATACCAGCTTAAAACCATTTTTGGTAATAATTAAAAGACCATTCAGATTTATTAGCAGCAGCAATACACATATACAACTGTTAATATAAAGCCCCTAGTGACCAAATGTTCAGCTGCTCATTTTTGAGTTAAGCTGTGGTTAGGCTTTTCTGCTGTTACTTGAGTACTAATATCTATGTTTTGTGTGACTCATTTCATAAATTCAGTATTCCTTGTACAATTTTACCTTTTTTCATTTTATTTTTTTATTAATGGAAAGCTGGAAATTTTCTTTCTTTCTAGAAGTATGACATGTTTATAAAAGTTTTTTATGTTTAGAACAGTCATGTTTTTGCATTGGTGTATAGTAAAGTTTCAGGGATTACTCTCCTTTCCATCTTTTTTTTTTATTTACATTTCAACTTGATATGTGTTAATCTTGGAACAAAGGTTGTATGTTTGTTTAATGGTGGTACAGAATTCTAGATTTTTGAATTGATATCAGTAAGACTAGAAACTCCTACAGCTACAAATCAAGAAACATGAAAAATTAGGACTTTGCTAGTGTCACCTTTGTATGGTCTGTATTCTAGAAAGTTAAAAAGATGAACTTGTATGTATGAACCAAAAGAATTTATAGGTGAACGAGGCTGTTTGGTTTCAATGTCACTATGTCTTATTTTGCAACAGTGCATATGTGGAGCTTAAAATAGCACTTGTTAGGAGCAGGTAAAAATTAATGGTATCTAATATGCAGCAAAAATTCGTTCATTTTTAATAGGTGAAACTTCATAAATAAGTACCAGAGGCTAGCGTAGCCTTGTGGTTAGCGTGTCAGGCTTTAGATTGAAGGGTTTGCTGCCGAACACACTCTTCACTTGGAGGTGTGATATAATTGACAGTCAATCCCATTTATTCATTTCAAAGAGCCAGCCAGAGTCCTTGTTGTAGTGGGTGATGCTGCATGGCTGCCTTCCCTTTGGCCAGTAGTTTAATATTAGGGACAGTTGTATGTGAACCTAAGGGGGTCTCTGACAGCTATTTAGCCTCTATATGCAGAAGGTACTGTTCAGGTTGAAAATTTAAACTTCAAACAAATATAAAAACTTGTTTTGATAGTACTTTTGTATTGACAGTAGCTGAAGTGTTCACTGAAAGACTAAAAAATGTGGAAGTACTTTTGTTTGATTTTAACTGCTCCAGCTAAGGACTCAATCCTGTAGCAAGATTTTTTAATTTTTCTAACTACTAATTTTATAAAATATTTTAAAACAACATTTGAGTTTGGATTATTTGAGTTCTTATAGCTTAGTTGGTTAGTCTGTGTTAATTTTTATGGAATATAGAAACCTATAGAACCTAATACAGAAAATGAACATTAGAATTTGATTAATTTTATGAATTGTAAAGACAGATTGCACCTGAATTTTATGGAATATAAGGACATTTTCCATACAAGTTTTAAGAAATATAAAGACATGTTGCACCTCATACAGAATATTATTGTTAGAACATATGATTCGTTTTCATATAATATCAAAACATTGCACCCAATAGAGAACACAAATGTTAGGATGTGCTTGATTTTATAAAACATATTATATTATACATAATACAGACTATAAGTGTTGAATGGGGTTAACTTTTATAGAATCTAAACAAGTATTAGATATGGTTAATTTTATGAAATGTAAAAGCCTGTTGCACCTAGTACAGAATCTAAGTGCAGAAATGTGGTTAATTTTTATGGAATATAAAAAAATATTTGTTTATTATTAATTAATGCTGTTTCAAAGACTAAAACTTGCAGAAAAGCACAGATAGTTCTGTAGTTTAATAATTTTTGGAAATTGATAAAGCAAGCTAATACATTTCAAGATCAACACACTTGGAGTAAATATCTATAGTTTTTTAGACTCTGGAATAAAGCCCAGAAGATGTGGTTTCTTTACAAACTGATTTAATAGAAGTGTAATTATAAGCTTTGTAGTTTTTGTGATAATATTGTATAAATATATTTTGAATGTGTAACATTTTGCTGTACTAATTGCTTGTAAGTATTGCAATGTAATGAGGCATTTGGAAAAACTAGAGAAAGTAGTAGTTTGTGTACATTAAAGAGTTTTGTCATGGAAATATGTACTTAGTTAAATAAATGTAATGATGACATAATATGAATATTGCGATATAGCTTGTAGTATGTGTATGTTAGAATTGCACCCACAGTTTGTATTGTAATGAAATGAAATATTCTTGCATAATAAACTAGAATTTCACACATGATATTCTGACATAATGAATTATGACTGCACTTATTTTAATTAAGTATTCTGAAATAATGAATCAGAATATCATTTAGTAATAAGATATTTCAATATAATCTCTATAGATCTGTGTAGTCAGAGCTGTTAAGCTTTAAAATTTTATAGTTGTTTTAAAAACTTGGAAATTCCTTTTGATTTTTAACAGGTGAAATGTGGCTGTTACTACACTCTAGATGCCAACAGTCTTAGTGCAGTAACCTACTTGTGGCTGTGTTGTACAGATGGTATCAAAAGCTACCTGGTGGTGATGTCAGTGCAGCCTACATTGTTGCAAGAGATTGCTACTTTTGACCTTCAAGAAGTGCAAATAACAGCAGTAGAGGCAGTTCCTGCATTGGCTGAGGGACTTGAAACTGTTTGGCTTGGAACAGAAAGCAGGAGGTGATTTTACTTTGTATGGTATTATTACCTCTGGCATTAATTAAGAACTTAATTATATGTTGGCTCACAATTTTTTTTGATCGTAAGAAGTGAAAAAAAAAAAGTGGTATAACTACTGTAGCTTATGATCATGTGTAAATAAAAACTTGAATAAGTTGCCGAAAGTTGCAATTTCTTTTCTTTTATTCAAAAATAATGTGATTTTTTCATCACAGACATCATTCATTCTAGTTGAATACTATACTACCTAAAGGCCTGCTTCAGCAAGTATACCACTAGAAATAATTTGTCTAACAATTATCTAATTCATTGTTAATTAGTTTAAAGAAGTATAAAAATTAGCCTGTCAAAATTTGTAAACCATTTTTAGAATTAGTGGATTCAGTTTTCATGTATTTAATCCACAGAAACACGGCTTTGACATCTGTAATGTATTTCACATTTCTTCTTCATTCCTAAGTCTACATTTAAAAATATTCAGGTTATCAGCTTTCTTTAATAAGGTGTTTTCTGTTATATTTTTTATCATAAATGTTTTCCAAGCAGTACAATATATTTACATATATTCCAGTAATCAAAGGAGGAAGTTTAATACTTTTTTCAAATGAATTTAAATACATAAAACAACATTTAAAAAGTACTTGATCAAAATCTTTAAATTCTTATTTTCCTATTTCAAGTGTCTAGGTATACTTTAGCCACTAACTGAACACTTTTGGTTATATTTTAGTCCATGTGATTTCTTTTTTGTTCTTATCACACGGTGTGATTACTGGATTTTAAACTTTTAACCACAGTTCAAATTTTCAGCTATTTGTATATAGCAGTAAAAATATGATTTTAGAAAATTGATAATTTGAATCATCTTACAATAATAATTATACGAATTAACTACCTATCACAACACTGAAATGGGGAGTTTCATGCATTGTGTATTAAATCACTTATTAGTACATCTGATATCACTTTTATTATGAAATTATCTACATCTATTTAATTTAAAATTTTTAAGTTATATGTTGTTATATGAAATGTTTAGATGTTGTTATCTAATATTAATAGAAAACTGCTATGTTGCCTATAATTTTTAAAAATCTAAATGTGAAAAATGTATCTAAATAATTGGATGTTTTAAAATAATTAATACAAGCAATATACAGTTGACAGTAAATTCAAGTGACATGGTGTGCCCTCCAGTGGGATTAGCTAAGTTTTAGGTCCCTGAAATAAAACTTATTTCAAGTTCTTAAAGATCCCAGCTTGCTGCTATTGTGGTTTTTATTCAAACCTGTTAAAAATGTTTTTCAGTTTTTGTAGATTGATTGTTATTTTTCTCATCAGTTAGGTTAGATCCTTTGACTTCCAGCTTTATAATAGAAATATTATACATTTTGTTTAGGATTGTGGTCCTTTCTGGATCATCTCCACAGAGTTACCAAGAAGTAGGAGTTGCAGTGATGCCTGCCTTAGCCATGCACATACGTTATCATTTTGAGAGAGTTTTTGCTGGCCTTAGTGACGGTTCTATTGTTGTCTTTCAAAGAAGTTCTTCAGGTGTATATTATTGCTCTTTAAGTTTGTTGGTGATGCTACAAACTGTGTTTAATTTTTAGTATGTTTTAAAGTAAATCACTGAAACTTTATTATACATTGTAAACCAGTTTCTTAATATATGTTTATAAGTTTGTGATTGACAAAAAAAAATGGCATGAGAATGTTAGAAGTTATCTTTTTAGGAAACAAAAGTAATTTATTTTTAATTACTCTCATAACCAGACCTGTGAATATAATATAAATTGCAATAGTGTAAAATATTAGATATCATTTGTTATAATGTTTCTTGTAATTTTTCAGAAGAAGCATGGGAGCTGAGAAGCCCCCTTATGGTAAATCTTGGACCAGATCCTATCACTTATCTCCTTCCATTAGGTTTAGCCTTAGTGTGTTCAGCAGGACGTAATGTTATTCTTCTAGATGGCCAAACTGCTGAGCCTCAGGTATATCTTGTACATTGTATATCTATGCTACATGTAAATGATTATTCCAAAACATACTTACCTCTGCCTGCTGACACTATAACTATTTCTCAATCTCCAGGGTTTCCACTCTATGCCCATCTAAGCATTGAAAACACTTGCTCCAGTCTTTTATACCCCACTCGAATGACCTTGGCAAACTCTAATTAGCAAAATTCTCCACCAACTTCAATGCGCCCTGTATTTAGGTACTGTATATAAGTACCTCATTCAGATAATGTAATCACTTTTTCTCGACAAAGCATTTGACACAGGTTTCTATAAACAGGAATGTTGTGATTACTCACAATTTATGTTGCAACTTTGAACATGGTTGGAATTACTATGGCTATATCTTCGATTATATTTATAAATTATATTGATAAAAAAAATCGTACGGACGGGCATGAATTCCCGAGTTAACATTTCTACTACAGAGGCCTACCAGACCTCTTATCTTCCACCTCTGCTATCTGATGTTTGTCAACTGCCAGGGGAAGGGTCTCTCTTCGTCGAAGCTATCCCTGATATGATCTGTTGCAACATGGAGACATGTATGCAGACCGTGGGTGTTTCTCTGCAGGGTTCTGGGGTGGCTTTTGCAAATGACCCAGGACTGGTTAGGGGAAAAGTTAGACTCGTTTTTTCTGGCTCCTTCTACTAGGTCAGCCTCAACAGAGGACCATTTGGTTACTCAAGTTTGTGAGGTTTTGGAAGTCTCTTCCATTGCATTTGACTCTACTCCTTCTTTGTTGGCAGAAAGGACGGCAAGTGTTTACTTGGTTTTTTCTCCTTCTCCTGATATTGCTGATCATGTTGGAAGATTTGCCACTCAGTTTTGCGATGAGATAGCTATACCTTGTCCCCCAAGTTTATCGACTTATCAACGCTAGGAGGATGTATATTTAGATTCTCAATGGATGGACCACCTTTTGGACTTTTAGATTGGAACTGATAATCACTTTAAACAGTTCACAGTTTTCTCGGATTCTTCTAACTCTCATGACTTTCCTGAGGTATTATCTTTGACCTAACTTTTGTCTGAAGCCTATTAACATTCCCTTCAACAATTTGAGGATGAGTTGGGGATTTTGCTGACATCTTCCTCAGTCAGATTGTCTTCTTCAGTTCCTTCCTTGGTTTCCTGGCTGGTTTGTTGTTAGAATTTTTTGGGTAGAGACACTTTGTTATAAAATGTTTGTTTACTGTCCTCTGTCCCCAGGGAGCTACTGGAAGCTCCTTTTTCTCCATCCCATGTTGTTTGCCAGAGTTCCTGAGATGTTAGAATCCCAAATTTTTACAGACCATTTAGATTCTTTTCTATCATCGTTGGCTTCTCGCCCTTTTGGCACTAATTGGGAGTATCGGCCCATAATGTTTCCAAACCCCCTCCTTCAGTTCCCAATTCTATAGTGGTATCTCAGATTTCTTGTCAAGAAGGCACACATTCTTAATACCTTTTTTTCGTACCTTGAATCTTCTCTACTGGGCTCATTCCTTTTGTATCAGTCTTTTACCTTGTCATGTTCCAGGAGTGGTGAATTTACTTACAGATCACTTGTCTTGACCCAACCGGATTCTTCTGACAGAATGGGTGCTGCATCATGAGATTGATTTGGTGGATTTGCTCTCAGTTTGGGTCTCCAACAGTCGATGCTTTTGTGACTCATTTGAATTCTCTCCAATACCTCATTCTCAAGAATTGGCATTACATGTGTTCAGTAATTACGGGACAGGTTCATATCTGTATGCCTTTCTCTCGATTCAGCTATTGCCTCGTGGTTCTGACTATGGTTCATTCCATTCCCTGTTGAGGTCTCTTGTGGTTTCCACATTTTCGGTATCTGCAGGAATGTTCACCTCTATCTCTTCCTCTTTGGCAGTCTCTGTTGAGACAACCTCAATCAGACATTCTCCACCCAGGTGTTTGCTTCATCTACAGTAGCTTTATATAAGGCATCCATATCCACTATTTTCTGGTATTCCAAATATCAACAGGTTTTTGAATCCCCAGTACTATCAAGTCTACTAAATTTGGTTTAGATTTGACATAAAGTTATCCGGTTAGGGGGTGCATGGCCCTTCTGTTTGATCAATGTAGGTTTCATATATTGTTCATGGAAGGAAGACCACTATCTCCTCATAATTCCGAATACAAAGTAGTCCCATCCTAGGTCCTTGGTTGAGCACAGGTTTCATGTCCTCTTCGTAATTCCAGGGGCAAGCAGAATACTCCTTACCCACTTGGTTGGGGAGTGAAGATGAATGTTCATAATTCCAGACCGGATGAGTTCTGTTCCTTTGGTTGTGTACGGCATTCACGATCCCCTCATTCCAAGCCTGGGGTGTTGCCTTTTGGACTTTTTAAGGTGGAAGAGAAAATTTGTCCACTTCAGTATTGCTTACTTTCTCGTCCTGATTCCAGTGGTTTGAAACTCATCACTCTGTGGCCACAGGTTGGGATCCAATTAAAAGTATATATATATAACATTGCAATACAATAGCCCTAGCCACCAACGTGCTGATGATTACTTGTATTCTATTCCACTTTTGCTATAGGAGCTGAGTTCCAGGTGAAGAGCTTAACTGTTCTGGATGTAATGTAGTTCCTCCACTCTTGTATCATCTTTATCTTGGTACACTCCTGTTCTATACAGATGCTTTCTGTATGATGCATGCCTGTACCGTCCCCTCCATGTGGGATTCTAGCTATAGTGTTAGCAGAGGTAAGTATGTTTTGGAAGTTAACATTTTCGTAAACTGAAAATGTATTTCAAATAATACTTACCTCCGCTGACACTCTTCTGCCCTACCTTATCACTAAAAGCCAGTTTATGTCTCAAAAATGTGATAACATTATCTGAATGAGGTGCTTATATACAGTACCAGGATAGAGGGTGCATTGAAGTTGTTGGAGAATTTTGCAAGTTAGAATTTGCCAAGGGCATTCGAGTGGGGGTATAAAGGACTGGAGCAAGCATTTTCAATGCTTAGATAGGCAAAGAGTGGAAACCCTGGAGATTGAGAAATAGCTATTGTGTCAGCGGAGATAAGTATTAATGGAAATACATTTTCAGTTTAGGAAATTGTATAATTAAAATTAATTTTAGTATTCTAAATAAGCAGAGTTTTATCTCTCTTATTTTTTTAACTGTAACTATGGGATACTCCTGTTATTCATTATTATACTTTAAATAAAAAGACTTAGAATGTATGTCTCTCACATACACATACACTGACTCGAAGAACTGAATTACCACATTAATTATTTCAGGCTTTTTATGTGTACTGAATGTTTTGAGATACATAATCGCATCCATTGCCTTTTAGCGTTCTTATTCCCTCCAACATGAGGAGGGACATGCACACCTTCTTGCCCACTCTGGGACAGGACTGTGGATCTCTCTCTACAATTCTGCTACTATCTGTTTATACCACACTGAAACATTTCGTCACCTGCAGGACATCAATGTGGCTTCAAGTATTAGTCAGCTCTTTAGTGGTGAGATTCCTGAATACTTCTCCTACAAGTATCCCTAAACTTTTAAGTGATTTTTGAATAGGTAAAAATCTGTGTATAAATTTATCATTTTGCTTTGTTAAGACATATAAACCTTTTGACCCTGTTGAAAGTTTGTGTTAAAGAGGAACTGTATTACAGTTTTCTTTTTTATTAAGTAACTAAAATATGAAACAATTTGACAATATACTTTTTCAGTATGTAATATCTAGGGATGGGACAAATGGTAGTTTTGTTGGATATTGGATTTCAGATATCTGGCTCCTGATATTCAACTGGATTTGATTGAATTGGATAATAGATGTTGCCATACAGATTGAAAATATGCCAAAGGCATAAGCTATCACTCCACTGTAGTATAGTATTAAAGTGGTTACTTTGTAATTGTTTTTTTTTAAAGTTAGATAACAATGTACACAGGAATGTACAGTTCTACATGAGCAAGTAACCATTGCAGGCCCTCTAACCCTATAACTTCTGGTGCCATTTTTTAATTCCTTTCTGTATTGTTATTGTGTTACATTCAAACATTTAATTAAACCACTGGAGAAAGTGGAAAATAAAATATAACATACACCTTAAAATTTTTTTGATATTCATTTAAGAGGTTTTAGAGATTATGCAAATGAAATGTGAAAACTAAGATAATAAATAGTATTTTTATACCCAATGTGAAAATCGCTTTGTGGGTGAACTATTCAGAATCCGAGTGCATAAAATAATGAATTATTATTGGAAATAGTAGAAAAAATCAAAACTAAATGTTTTATTATTTTGCAACTACATATCAAAGTTCTTGTCAAATTTCAAACAATTTCATCCACTAGTTTTATTTTTGGAATGAAATATCATGAAAGCAACGTTACCTGTTAAAAGCCTTTTTAACCAGAAGTCATAAGGCTAAGGGAATGTGGCAGTGTGAGACAGAACTATTATACACCCCTAATTCACTGCTGAGACTTTTGTTTCAGTTGTGCATGCCATTGCTGTCAGTACTGTGACCACCTGTGGATTACATTGGCAACACCACAGTTGAGAGTAATCTATATTTTAAACTACATAACTATTTATTTATGACTAACTTTTTAATACTGAAGGAAATGCTACTGTGTTTAAAAGCTACTAGAATGCACCAGTGGGCTAGATGAATGTTATGCATGTGCATGTAGTATTATGCCTGCATAATGTGAGGTAATCTGTTGAAGAAAATACTATCTGAGTATCCATTTCATCACGAAATTAACATTCATTTGGATTGGATTTCATGAGATTTTTTTGTCCCATCTCTAATAGTATCAGAATAAGACATTTTGATAGTGTACGTTTTCAGTATCCATAATCATTATGAAATAATATGGTAATTGATTTTTTTCATTGTGTAGCATAAAAAAGAAACAGTTTGATAGTTTATGGTTTTAGCATTCATAATGATAATGAAACAATTGACTTTTTTCAGTAGGATCAGTGTTTTGTTCTTTTCCACTAGAGACCTTTATTTGTTAAATTAATAGTAGTATTAGTTCTAATGAAAAATTTAGTTTCTACTTGTCTTGTTTTCCACAGGTTTTCGTGACTCTAATATTCGAATAACAGTAACATCGCTTCTTGCAAGTCGAGGCCTTCTGTGGGTTGGTACTAATGTAGGTGTTATTTTAACTGTGCCACTACCCCGTCTAGAAGGTGTGCCAATTATCAGTGGACGTACTAATGTAGCATACCATGGCCACCATGGTCCAGTTACTTTGCTTCTCAGCCTGCTTCCTCGACCAGCTGTTAGTGTTCCTTCTAATATCAGGGAAGAAGAGGTTGGTTTGGATGTGGTAAAGCCAGAAAATCAACCTCCTTGTCATGAAAAGGTGCAGAAACAGAAATCTGACTCCATGATCCCTCCTCCATTCATTAGATCTCATGGTATGCTTTGTTTTTTACCTGTTGTTAATGTGCATTAATGTTATACAAGTCCCACTTGTTTGTGCATACTTAATAATTAAAACTTGTTTGTAAATTTTGGATGAATAAATAGATTTTATATGAATTTATTTGGTTTATAATTACAAGAGTGTGGATGATAGTTACCTGTGTATGTTTGTAAACTCTGACTAAAGTTTTCGTTCTGCAGTAGCACCAGCTCGGAAAAGTGCTGCAGACATTCATATGTCAGGAGCTAAGACTCTCCCAAGAGGAATGAATTTTCACCAGCCTCCAACAGCAAACACCTATCTGGAAGATTCCAACAATGTATATGGTTTGTATGCTGACCTGATGAATATTCATGATTATGACAGGGACAGCCAAGAAAGGCTTCATGAAAGGTTGAACCAGAGTGATTCCGATCTTGCTGCTTTTCATTTGATTACTTTAGATAGAAGGTATGTGTGTACAATATATATATATAAAAAAAAAATGCTAGAGAATTTGTTGGTGTAATACTCATTCTTTATATCCTTTACATTGTGGATTCATGTCAGTTTTCATTATTTCAGACAATTACTGAATTTTGTGGAATAGTATGCCACTCTCATAGTTTAATCAAGACTTGGCTACATCCATGCTGCTATACTGTATCTCTGTAATCATTTTTAAAAACAATGTTTTCTGCTGTTGGTATTTTTGGTTTTCTCGGCAGATATACTTTACTAGTATTCTTACAATAAATCCTAAATTGAAAATATGATTTATTTTTTTCCATAAAATAATTTTCATCTTTAAAGGGTATCAATCAACTTACTATTTTGCCATTACCTTGACCTGATAATTTTATTTTCTTAATAACCATATTGAATTATTTTGTTAATCTAACATTCTTTCATAGCCAGAAAGCTTAAAAAAATGAGAGAGAATATATTTCATTGTTTAAACTAATAGTTATGTTTTGTTGTACATTTTAACTGAATATTTTGTAGCTTTTCTTTAAATATTAGTGGGTTTTTTATGAAACCAACAATTACAATTGGGCAATTGGTGAAAAATTTGTTGATTAGTTAATCATCAGACTCCTTAATCAGTTATTCTCACATGAGACGTAGATAGCTAGAATAGTCAGAAACACTAATTTTGATTAGTTGGTTATTTTCATGAGTTGTGACACTAATTAATTGAGCTGAACAACCTTGAATTAAAATAATAATGAGAAATAATGGCAATATTTTGATTAGTTGATTATTTTTGTTACTTTAATTAATTTAACCATAATTTCAATTAAATGATTATTTTACATGATACTAATTAACTGAGTTAATTGCCTAGATTTAGTAACAAGGTAGAAAATAATTAAAATTATTTTAACTCAGAGTTTTTATGGATCCTAGAAATTTGTAAATTCAGCTCCTGGCCTGGAAATTTCTTAAAACATGATAATGTAGTCAAGAGTAGTAAGAAATAAAATTACCAAGGAATTTTAAAATATTGTTAAATAAATAATTTTTGATTTGGTCAATTGTTTAAGCCCTATTTTTCATAATCATCAATTTGTTATCTTGTCAGAATATTAAGTTAAATTTTAACAAGGCAGTGTAGCTATTTTTTCAATCCTGAATTTATAATTAGCCATTTACTGCCTGAACTGTATGTATTATAATAATGATTGTGTGGCTGATACATCAGCAGCTTACTTCAAGTAAAGAACTAAACATTAGCTTTAAGCTTTAGAACGACATAACTGTATTCCATAAATTCAAAGTAGACCAAAAGATTCAATTCTCTGTAGAAGCAGTAAGCATAGATGATTATGTACTTAGATGATTGACTTTGGGTATAAAAACCTTGTTTCATTATTTATGTCACTCAAACTGACATTACCTGGATTATCTGCTCGTGGTGTAGGTAAAATATGATTTGAGTGTAATTATAAATTATGCTCATGTCATTGTGCATAAATATGTCAGTAGAGGATTCTTGATTTATGCAATTTCAGTTGCTTGGAGACCACTAAAATAATACCATGATAATAATAATATATAAAAGAAACAGTTTAACACACATTATTAAAAAAAATATTTATAATCCAAGCTGAGTCCAGGCTTTGAAGCGTGCTGCAGACATTCACATGTCATGAACTAAGACTGTACCACACTAAAAGAATTTTCATCAGCCTCCAACAATACACACATCTAGAAGATTCTGTCAGTGTTTGTGGTTTGTATGCTGATCTGATAAAAACATTATGGACTACACAAGTATCTAGCAGGTTTCAATAATGTTTGTGATTTGTATGCTGATCTGGTGAAAATATCCAGGACTACACACATATCTAGAAGATTCCAACAATGTTTGCAGTTTATACACTGATCTGGTGAAAATATCCTGGACTACACATGTATCTAGAAGATTCCAACAATGTTAGTGGTTTGCATGCTGATCTGTTGAAAAAACCATGGAGTACACACATATCTAGAAGATTCCAACAATGTTTGTGGTTTGTATGCTGATCTGGTGAAAATATCCTGGACTACACACATATCTAGAATATTCCAACAATGTACACTGATCTGGTGAAAACACCAACGACTACACATGTATCTAGAAGATTCCAACAATGTTTGTGGTTTGTATGCTGATGTGGTGAAAATATCCTGGACTACACACATATCTAGGAGATTCCAACAATGTTTGCAGTTTGTACACTGATCTGGTGAAAACACCAAGGACTACACACATATCTAGAAAATTCCAACAATGTTTGCGGTTTGTATGTTGATCTGGTGAAAATATCCTGGACTACACATGTATCTAGAAGATTCCAACAATGTTAGTGGTTGATCTGGTGAAAACATCAAGGACTACACATGTATCTAGAAGATTCCAACAATGTTTGTGGTTTGTATGCTGATCTGGTGAAAACACCAAGGACTACACACACATCTAGAAGATTCCAACAATGTTTGTGGTTTGTATGCTGATCTGGTGAAAACACCAAGGACTACACACACATCTAGAAGATTCCAACAATGTTTGTGGTTTGTATGCTGATCTGGTGAAAACACCAAGGACTACACACATATCTAGAAGAATCCAACAATGTGGTTTGTATGCTGATCTGGTGAAAACATCAAGGACTACACACATACCTAGAAGATTGAACAATGTTTGTGGTTTGTATGTTGATCTGGTTAAAACACCAAGGACTACGCACATATCTAGAAGATTGAACAACATTTGTGGTTTGTATGTTGATCTGGTGAAAACACCAAGGACTACGCACATATCTAAAAGATTCCAACAACGTTTGTGGTTTGTATGCTGATCTGGTGAAAATATTCAAAATTAAACAGTGACAGCCAAGAAAAACTGAATCACAGTGATTCTGATCTTTCTGCCTTCCAGTTTAGAGAAAGTGTATGATATATTGTAATACCCAGATTGCAGCAACAACCATTTAACATTTTAACCTTTTGGAAACAGTTAGTTGAACACTACATTTTGCATAATAATTTTTGTTCGTGTATCATTCACTGTTTCATCTTTTTTTTTATTCCTGCAAGAAAGTTGCAAAAGGAAAAGATTTTATACACACACATGCACACATATGTGCTGTGTGCAATTTACACCCTAGCTTCAAGCACCAGGAACACCACTTATTTACATAAGACTGACCTTTAGTAGATGGCTGTATGAAGACATCATTTATGCTTGAATTACAGCAAGTACAGCAAACCATTTCCATGTACTTTAACATGTGGGTTAAGCTTGCGAGGTTCTAAGTTTTTTTTATTGCTTGATTGTTTGTTTATAGTATTTACAAGCTGAAATACCTGTCAACTTAAGGGGAATGTTTAAACTTAATTAAAACAATGTACGTCTAACAGCAATCTTATATTTCAAAGTAATAACTTGAACATAAAACTTTATCTCAAAATTTTAAAATTATAACAAAGCTTCTTCATAAACAACATTTGCAGCTTACTTTCCATATACCAACAAATAAAGATTTTGAGGTGATCCCACTCTTGAACACCCTACAGCTCATTGACCATGAGAAAAGCATGATTGTTGGAGAAACAATCCAGCAACTTTCATACTTTGACCTTGAATCTCTAGAATATTCAACATTGTCTAAAGCTTCAACCTGCCAAGATTTTTTAGGTTCACTCAATAGGCTGGGAGTAATTAACCAGCAGGCTGTACAAAATAGGGTTAAGTTCAGTTTTGAC